TTGGGGGTGGGGGCTAGGGGAGTTGGTGGGAAGGTATGGGAGGAGGGAAGGGAGAGGGAGAGGAATCTGGGATTGACCTGTGAAGCAAACTTATTTCTAATTTAAATTTCAAAATTAAAAAGAGAAAAGAAGTTGAGATTTCTTACAGCATTTTGTATCCTTTCTTTACCAACTTCATTTTTTTTAATTGGTAAATATTTTTCATTTTCTCTTAGCTCAGAGGAGTGACAATCAGGTCAATAAGCCTCCTCATTAGTCACACAGAGGGACATGTCTTGTGAGCAGAGACACAGCCCAAGGCCCACCTCCTCCTGTGCTGATATTTGTCAGAGTGAAAGTCGACTATAGTGGCAATGGACTCAGGCAAAGAATCCATCCGGGTACAAAGAAGAACTGACACATACCACCCTGAAATTCAGGGCAACAAGCCTCAAGAATCACAAATGCTCTCTGGTCCATGTTGGTCAACATGTCTAAAATCCCACATTTATGAATACTGCGAATTAATAATACCTCATCATGTTGGTTTATTCTCTACAATGTACCTAACTTTCATATGTAATTACTGAATTTGATCCTTAAAGCCAGTGTAACATTGACTGTAAAATTGTTCTTATCTTATAAATGAAGGCACTGAGACTCAAGCTGCTTGCATGGTCTTCCCCATATGACATAGCTGGCTCACTCTAGGTTCTGCTAGGCTGGTGACTAGTCAGGAAAGTGAGATCCAAGCATGATTCCAACACCACAGGGGCTGTCTGTCATCTCAGTACGTATCATACTTGTATGGCAATACCAAGGAACTGAGGAAGCTCACAATCATTCATTAAGCATTCAAAAGTCACAATTATTGCCTAAACTTTAACAGCACATTCAGTGCAACCCATCTCAGGAAGCCACAAAGTCAATGGAAACAGAGCATTGACCTTAAGAAACTCACCAATGTAAAACCATTGCTACTCATCAGTACCTCCACATGCCCAGTAACATGAGGGAGCCAGCAGACATGGTCACTGGACATCAAGCTTCAGGGTTCCCAAGTTTTAGAGTGAGTGGCTAGGTATTCCAGGACTCAGGACTTGGGTGCCCAACATCCATGAATTCTAAAATGAGTTAATAAAAACCAGTCTCACTCTTACATTTCAAATCTAGAATACATGTCTAAACCTAAGCACTGATGCATAATCAAGGACTATCAGAGGCTTTGCTGAATGCTAAAAGGAAAAAGAATTCTGCAGAATTATGGCTATATAGAGGATGTTTTTGAAGAATAAGTCTACAAATAGTTAATTATTGATTATTCCCATCCACTCCTTTTACCAAGAGTCAAACGCCAAACACTAGATTTCCTTAATTATCTACAAACAAAAAATGTTTTCCATCAATCAGCACTTTCAGTTTCCAGTAACTAAACTGTAGTTGTTTATTGGTCAAGTGTTTAGTGTACCATTGTGCTATTGAAAAAAGATACACACTGAGTTGCTTTGTATCACTGAGGAAGAAGTAACTAAAAACAGTACACCTAGGACAACAAAAATCAAACAATTTACTCACTAACTTGTATCAACCTACTTTTGGTATCTGTCATATATCCAAAAAAGTATAATTTTGTGTCATAAGCAATGACTTGTCTAGTTTTGCACATTTCCCTTAAGCGATACGATGCTGACATGTAAAGACTTTTCAAAATTTACTGTAAACACCAAATTTGATTTCTCCTCTTCTCCCTGCCAAAGCGACTGAAACCTTCTGGGGATTGCACATGGCTTCGACCTTTCCTGGCTTCAAGTCTCTGCTGCAGAAATCACCATAAAGTAAACTATGAATAGAGCTAGCACATTGTTACCTCCATGCTCCTAGCAGCTGAGGGACTCGGGAACAATGTTCCTCGGGGACTACCCAGGAAACATCAGAGCTGGCCTCCAGAATAAAAGCTATATTGAATTAAAGAATATATATATATATATATATATATATATATACCCACACGTACATACACATACACACACACACATATATATTTATATATCAAGGGGGGATCTCTGATGGTGACAGTTCAATAAGGAAAAATGGCTTTAGCTGTCTTAAATAGAGAGAATTTGATTCACAGAATTTGTGACATGGGACATTGAATAGCTAGGCAAATATAAGAAAGCCAAGGCCCTCAGAGGTCAGAGCAGTTTAGAAGCCACCTTCCCCCCAGGACACAGGTGGTTGTCGTGACAACAGTTGCCAAGGTGGGACTTTTAGGTCTCCAACCTGAAACAAATGGCTAACTGAGGTGCTCAGTAACATATCAAAGTGAACACTGCCCAGTAGGTTCTCCCAGCATTCCTCAGTATATGGCTGGCATACTCCACCCTCTGCTCTAACTTTTCCTGCCCAGGGGCTGGGCTGCCGTTCTCTATATAATCCAGACATTTTGATTACCTGCCCCTTTGTCTACCCTTCGCCATGCCCGCTAGTGTCTTGGCCCAGGTCACTGCTCTTGGTTGGCGGTTCCGGTTCCTCTCACCTCCTCCTTCTCCTCACACGGCCCAGCTCAGTCTGGTCATGTTCACACCGGACTCTCCCAGACGTCCCTGCTTCTGGCTACACTCTCCCTTGTATCCACAATAAACTTTCTCTCCCACCATTCCTAGGAGTCCTCATATCCTTCCTTTTTATTTCGTTCTGGCTTGTTTGCTTTTTTTTTTCACCCAGGAACAACCAAAAGAAACAGGATTGCTGTAGGTTTGTCGTTCCAGAAGAGTCATCAAGGTCCGTCAGCCTGTGGCCAGCAGGAATACAGCCTTTTTTCCAGATTGACCTTTCTCGGGGGTTCCAGGATCTGAAGACCCAGAACACTAAAGAGGCCTTGAGACAGGATTGTTCTGTTATAGTAGATTGACAGGTAGAGCTGAACAGGGCTGGCCCAGCGAGATAGTGCCACCAACAAGCCCAGGCTACCCCTCTGCAGCAAGAGGAGCAGTTGTAAGATGCAACGGAGACACATTGAGGACTAAGTTTCGAACTCATGCACCACTCAATTCCTAAGAGCGATCCAAGAATCTTCTGAGTGAAATTATGCAGAGGAAGGAAGAGGCATGTTTAATACTCATCCCCAGTAAAACCTCAGCCATTGCTATAAATATGACCTGGAAATTCCTCTGGACTGCTAACACCTGGAAAGCCTGATTACTCATTGTGCTAGACTTTTGTCATTGTAACAAAGAATTCGAAGAAATCAGCTACAGGGAGAAGCTCTTTTTTGGGTCATGCTTTCAGAGCTACCTACCCATTGTTAGCTAGGCCTATTTTATTTCAGGGCCAGAGGCAAGGCAGAGTATCCACAGCAAGCCTGGACACTCCTACCAATGGCATCATCAGCTGGGGACCAAGCTTTCAACTATTACACCTTTGGAAGACAGGACCTTCTGGGTATAAAAGCCACTCACAATGAAATCCACTTGTAATGAAAACTGCATCCATAGTAATTGTGTCTGAATTTTTAGCAATTTCTGCAAAGACTTTTGTATTGTTTTGTTGCTCACTAAGGTTTTTAAAGGTAAGATGCCATATTCCATTGAAGTATCTAGTGGTGTCTCTTTTCTCTGCTTGGGCTGGGACTCAAGCAGCTCTAACTAAGCATTGGGCATCTGATTATCCAGCTTGAAGTAGCTGAGCCAGGACCCACCATCCAGATCACAGCTTGCTATATCAGGGTTAATTGGCCCGGCCTGTCAGAACTGGGCATCCAGCCTTGATGAAGGATCTCTTCTGAAAACCTTAAACCAAAGGAGGAAGCTCTGCAGGAGCCTGTCTCCTCAGCTAGCAGGAAGTTCGGACAGGCCTCTGCTGTTTGCACCGCTCTGACCTCCCAGTTCTAATACCATTTATTTCACAAAATCTAACTACAAACTTTCTCTGTATCCTTTGAAATAAGTCTCCTTAGAAGATTGTAGAACTTTGGCTGAACATTTGTTTAATGAGCATAAGACTCTGGATTCAATCCCCAGAACCAGAAAGAAATGAAGAAAAGTGGGTTGGGGTGATTAGAAGGAGAATAGGAAGGAGGAGAAGAAGAGAAAGAAAGAGATGAGCAACGATAATTTCCTGTATCTACCATGCTCAGGACCATGGGAAAGAGGTCCTGAAGCCCCAGCATAAACTTCAAATGATGGTGGCCTGGGTATAATGTTGACCACACCTATAAAACCTTGAGCCAGAATTACCCAAGGAAATTAATCCCAGACTCCTGACTTACCCAGTCAAACTGTGAAAAATAACCTTAAAATGATCTAAGTTTGGTAAACAATCATTATGTAGTGAAATACAGCTAGTCCCCATTTGTACTGAATCTGACTATTTTGCAACTTGCTCTTAGTTCCTGTAGGCTAAAATCCTTTTACCATTAGTCACCAGTATCTTAGTTTTCTTTTACTCTCCATGTATCTTGTTGTGTCTTCGTCATCATACTGAGCCCTAATCTTGACTTTCAGAGTATTCATGTGAACAATGGGCATAATGCCCCAGGGCAGATACCCGAGCCCCACCACTGTTGCCTTCTCCACTTCCCCCATGGGTAGAAGGGGATGCTTCTTCCATGTCCCCGGTACCTAAAGTTTCTTTGTCATTCCTACTTCAGAAAGTCCCATCTGGCTGTGCGCATGTGTGCACGCGCGCGCGCGCGCGCACACACACACACACACACACACACACACACACACACACTCTATTTGTACACTGAAAAGAAATTTCAGGAAAAGGCTGTGGGTCCGTTTGCATAATTGTGAAGAGCTTACTTCTATCTCTTGATATTTATAAATATTCTTGGCTGTTTGTCTATTAATCCTAAATTCTGTCTACTCTGCAATATGGAGGAGTGTTCACAAGCTACTCATTCTGAATACCCATTTTCAAGTTAATTTTAAGGAACCAAGCACTGTATACTTTTGGGAAGTGGTGGTAGCCACTCTTGAAAGACCATTGAAACTAACCTCCAGTCTCAGAACACTTACCTTCAGGCAGGAGATTTGTCCTTCACAGGTCACCCCTACTCAGGCACCCCTAGTCCCACATTGCCTGCATTTCCTCTGACACTTCTGCTCTCTGCCTGCTTCATTGAGATCAAGCCCAGGAACTGCTGAGTACCACGCAATCTAGATTTCAGTCTCATACAAATTCTCCCACAAACTGGTGACACCTGTAAGTACGAGCGCCCATCCTCACAGCTGTCAACTATTCAAATGATTTGTGGTAAGGAGGGGAAAGGAGGAATTTCACGAGAGCTCTTTCTAACAGTGGAGAATCCAGAAAGCAAGGGCACAAGGCACATGTCTCCTTTTCTGCAGGGAATTAAGTAACTGAAAAGGAGCCCCTGGTTGGAGCACATTAAACATCCTCATGTTCATTCAAGCTTTCAGTACAGTGTCACTGGGCAGGCCATGTTCCTACTCTATCACTTGCATTTAATTTGAGTTAGTGTCAAAAATACTGCTGCCCTGCTTTAAAAATTTCATAACCATATTGAAATATCATTTCATATCAATAAATTTACTCATTTGAGGTGAAAGATGTGAAGGATCTCAGAAAATATCTATACTAACATATATCACCTAAGTCTAAGCTTAGACTACTTCTGTCATACCCATAAGCCTCTCTGCAGTCAGTCCACACTCTTATCCTGGCTTGGCACGTGGCATCCTGGATGTTCTAAAGGAAGGGTATCCCTCATACTCCATGGGAGCTATCTAAGACCCAATGCACAAACTTATCCCCGGAGTGCCTTGCTTTAAACAAGTCTCATTAGAGTATACTCACTGAGCAAAATGACAAGCTTCATGATGACATTTTGATATACCATCCTTTTCTACCCCCATGCCTCTTTCTGCTAGTCCCTTTACTCTTCCCAAATTGTACCTCCCGTTCTGTTTTCAGAATGTGTCTGTGTGTGTGACATAGAGAGAGAAAGAGAGAGGGAGACATACACATGCACAGAGGGAGAGAGGGAGACAGAGACAGAGAGAGAGAGAGAGAGAGAGAGAGAGAGAGATCTGTACCACACTTTAAACTCTGACTCCACATGCCATAAAAAATAAGCAACATGTGTAGTGAGATATCCACCTCGCCAGCACTTGTAGCACTGACCACGCCTGTTTGGGCGTGGTCACAGGCACGGACATGACAGGGAGTGAGTTTAGTTCTGGGGTCTGGACAGGTAGCTCTCTCTCTTGCTTCCAGTAGGGTCGGAGAGGACAGCCTAGGTGGATCCTTGGAGAGCGAACTTGCAGCGGCCACCTGCTTCTTGTGTAACTTCTTCCCGAAGAAAGTTCACTTAACCTGAACTGAGTCTAGCGAATCTTGATTCCCGCCCAATAAGCATGTGTCTTTCTGGGTCTGATTTATTTCACATAATATGATAATCTCCAGTTCCGTCCATATTTCCTGACAAGGAGATGAATTTGTCCTTCGTAGTTGAGTTACCTCCAGCCTTTCTTGCTGAGTCTCCAAGCGGCACCCTGTTACCCTGTCTGTCAAATTGGAAATTCTAAGTACAGTCACCTTCAAGGCAAGAGAATTGGGCCTCTTTCCTTGAAAAGAGGAGTATCAGGATTGTGGGGGTGAGAAACCTTTGAGGAATCTCCCAAGGATGCAGGCAGGCATTGCACCCACTATCATGTCCTTTTCCTCCATGAACAGATGTCTTTGAGCCATCAGTGCTATCCCCTGTGGATGTGCTGTTTAGCAGTTTCATATAGGCTAGTATTCGGTTGTACAAGTGTGCCACACCTCACCTAACTGAATGCCAGATTTCAGGCTCATTGGCTCATGTAGTTTTAGGATCTAGACAGTGCTTCACATCTGACTGACAACTTCAATCTGCTGACCACACACAATGAAATTCACCCCATGATCCCCACAGTTTGACATTGAGCTTCACTCTCCAGAGCACACATTGAAATGAAAAGAGAATTTTTGAGGTAGATGTTTTCTACAGTATGAACACTTGGAAACTGATCAGATAGCATTCAAAAATTTAGTTTTGGTCATTGAATGTCTAAATTTTCCTTAGTAATGACCTTTCTTTGCAAACCAAAACTCTTCTCAGAGCTAAAGTTTCTCTTTGTATGTCTAAAAAATCATGTGAAGCCCTTCAAGGAAGACATCGATGGGATTGAGAAGTTGCTTTCTGTGCTGGAAGACTTATTTTTACTTTCCTCTGCCAGGCCCCTTAGTCAGATGTACAAAGGCTCCCACAGACCTGGAGAAACTTCATCTCTCTCACCCAGATTTCCCTTGAATGATGATGACCTTTGTCAGTCTGTGGCAGCCAATAATAATCCATCACAGTGCCAAGGCAAACAGGAGGAACATGGCAAGGACATCATCAGAGCCACAGGAAAGCAATCCTTAACTGGGTCCTGGGGGTTCTGGATCAAAATATTTAGACTGAGTCAAAGTTTAGGACCTGCTTAATAGGCAGTCAAATGGGTAGTTCTGTTCATAAATACAGACCCTCCAAGAACAGCTAATTTACCAGCTCCAAGAATCATAAGACACTGGGAAAATCACTGTCACGTGTCATGAGGCAGTTGACCTCCAGACCTGGAAATGGAGAGCCAAAGAAGGGAGGAAGAGTGGAGGTCTAGTTAACATAGTGACACAAGGTTCTTCTTCCTTCTTCTTCTTCTTCTTCTTCTTCTTCTTCTTCTTCTTCTTCTTCTTCTTCTTCTTCTTCTTCTTCTTCTTCTCCTTCGTCTTCTTCTTCTTCTCCTCCTCCTCCTCCTTCTCCCCTCCTCTTCTTCCCCCCATCCATCCTTTTCTTCCCTCACTCTCTCCTTCCCAAGTGGCCTCTCTGTGCTCCCTTTCTCTGTCCCCTTTCCCTTCCCTTCCCCCCAATAAAACTTTTCACATAAAACAAAACATAGTAGCATAGGATCAAGGCAGAATTTCTTGTTGCTACCTACTTACAAGCCATTTAGTACTATCTTTCCTCAAATTCATATACGAAGCCCTGTGGGATATTATCGCCTGCTATATGAACTCATTTTTACACAGAAGGATGCCTTCTACATTTCATATACAATAGGATGCGACAAAAACAATGGAGCCTTAAGGTGGCTCAGCAACTAAATGCACTTTCCCACAAGCCTCAAGACCTAACATCTGAAGGTTGTCTGTCTCCACACACACCACAGTATTCACACCACCTTCACCAGACACACAATAACAATTTTTAAAAAGTGAAATGAGTCTATTTTCCAACATTCCTCTCATGGACATTTAGGCATTATTAACTAATGTCAACTAATATTTAGGCATTATCCCTTGTTGACAGGGGAATCAAAATATGGAGAGTCGCTGTTTTAATTAATGGCAGAGATATGGGCAGTGAGGACACAAAAAGTAAATGTGTTAATTGGGTGCTTGCATCCTTTGCCTAGTCTCCGGGAATTTGGACTGGACTGTGGGCAATGAGAGAATGAGTGAAAAACAGACACAAGACACAGACAGAAAAGCTGAGATCAGATGGACTGGGTTTTCTGATGGAGAAACCACAGCACCCCAGAAGCTCAGCATATTTATTTTATAGTTGAGCAGGGAAGCAGGGCTATTGCCTACAGTGTAACAAGGGGATAGTACTATTACAAATAAACAGGAAGGCTATGTTTACATTTTATAGCTACATCAAGGACACAGGGTTAGTTCATCCCAGGAGGAGCATGGTCTTCGGGCCTTTGTAAAGGAGCAGCCTTGAACATCCGGGGATGTGGAAAGCTATGGTGGACATTCTCTGCACTCATTGCCAACACTGCAACTTGATTTGCTACTTCCCTTTGAGCCTCACTCCCAGGGTAAAGGAAGGTTTTGCCATTCCTCTTGGTGTCTGAGGTTTTGGGGTCTTTGCCATGGCTGTGCCCAAGTCAACGTCACATATCAAACCTGGACTTCACACACTCAGGGCTTTCTTTACTCCTTCAACTTTAGTGTTGGAGGTGATTGAATAGTGACATTTCTTCTGGTTACAAGCATGCATTTAGCCTTTTGGCTGCCTCTGGCATTTCAGGGACAAGAGCTGCCTTTCCTACAGTTTGGGGGTGAGGATCCCCCAGCCTTTTGCATATGCTCATTGCACAGCTTCTCTCTGAGGCTTCCCTTCCCAGGTAGAGCTCTCCTCCTGTCCTGGTCTTACTACTCCCCACCACTGAGCAGTACATGGTTTTCCAATCCTCCTGTCCCAAGGATTGACACTATGACTGTGACATCAGTTATGATTTGACTGTTGAAGTGTTTATGACAGGCTCATGTTGGAACACAGTTGATGCCCAGCTGGTAACACTGTCTGGGAAGGTTGTGAAGCATAGCATAGTGTGCAGTTGGGTAATGAATCACAAGGGGGGTCTTGAATGTTCTAGTCTGCCCCACTTTCAGCTGAGCTCTGTGTCTCCTGATCTCTGGAGATGGAGGCGAGTTGAGCTGCAAGTTCACATCACTAGTGAGGGGGGCTGATCTCCACCCTTTCACCCTTAGACTTGGTGTGTCCTTGCTAGTGAGATGCTCTTTGTAGAGAAGGGTGTTTACATCCTGTTTCCTGAACCCTGTCTGTCACTAGTTGGAGAGTTGAGACTATTCACGTCTAGGAATATCACTGGGATGAACTTTCAGTCATGTGATCTTTGCTTTTTGCTTGCTTGTTTCAATCATGTTTATTCTTCTCTTTTTCCCATGTTTATATTATGGATATATTTTTAATTAGCCATGATTGATTCTTAGTTCTCCTTTGTGTTCCTTTCATGAAATGTATCCTTTTGTGATCATATAGCCAAATGGACACATATCCATCCGTGTGCTAAAAAGGATATATAATTATCAGCATTCAAAATGAACACTCATCCTCAGGGAATCAGTCAGCTATATCACAGAGCAGCAGAGTGGGGTGGGGAGAGAAAGGAGCAAATGCTTGCTGACTTCTAAAGGGAGAAACAGGTGCGGAAATGCATCCAGCAAGGTTTTCTCTGCCAACTGCTGATGTTCTCTAGGCAGCAGTCTCCATAGCGTGCATATAGTGCCAGGAGTTATCCCATTTCTCTTTCCAGAGGAAATTCATCTTCCCAAACATTCCAAGACCAAGCGTG